CTTCACTCAAAGTACTGCCGTTGTCAGTTAACAGATTGAGTACCTACGTATATATGTGGGGTCTACATATATACATATGTACATACGAGGTCATACACGGCCAAGTTAATTGTACGCACATACGAGTATTTTAACGATGAGTGCATTTTCACATTTCACTTTACATTCTTGCTATACGTTTTTTTTATTTCGGGTCATTGTCGGATACAATAAAATTGTATGAAATCATGCAGATGCACGAAGATACATACATACATGTGTATACACATACATACATACGTGATACTGAGCTTTAAAGTCTGCGCGTGTTTGCATAAATGTTCCATTTCCCATGGCGGTAACCAATTCCAGCAAAAGTGTTCCTTTTTATTATGACTATATTGCTTGAGCACACATTCGGAAATGCGGCAGAGGCACGCACTCATCTATTTGTTTCCACAATAACCGTTCACAAATTGTCACTGCCTCTTTGTCGTTCTTGGTAATTGTTTGCTTTTCACTTTTCCGAAAGTTGGCACGATCTCTGAAAGTGAGTACTTTTAGTCCCCGCAATCAAGTGCATAAGTGCCAATTTATGAGTAAAAAATTTAGTTTTATTTCGTGTTTTTGTTTTAGTCTTTAACGTGTAAAACAGGTTGAGTTGATGCCCAATAGGTTATGTTACGTTATGCTGGCTGACCATAAGTTGTCTCACATAGACGATTTTAACGTCCATAGCTTTGTGAGATTCGTTCATGACCTAGGAATCAATGCTTTCACGCAAAGTTAAAGAATACTACCGGTCCTTTAGCGAATTTCAATAGACACTTGGGTCCTTTATCGATTACTGCTTGTAGGCTCTGCAACTGTACCTTGCCGAGCAAGGCGAGTCTTTGCCTCCTGAACACTCTCAAATTATATGCTCCACGGTTTCCTGGTGACAAATACATTTCCTACATTTTTTGTTGCCCTCTAACCCTCTTAGAACTCTTAGTAATTAATATATCAAATAATTTAAATCTCATGCATTTTTGCCAGTCCTTTTTCCGTCTTAAAACCAACCTTGTATGTCGGCTGAATGGGGCAGCGCTTGCTTACAGCGTGGAATAAACCGAGGCACCCTACAAGGTGGGGAGCTTTCACCTCTGTTATAGATCGTGGTTGTAAGAGATCTGGTAGAGGAACTAAAGGAGACAAGCTGCCGGGTGATGACCTGGACGACGAAACAATTGCGGTTAAGATTAGATCTGACCTATCTGTCTACTAAGTGAACGGCTGTGAGCGAGCTCATCGTCAACCCATGCGAGACAGAACTGGTCTAAGTCTCTAAGAAATACAAGAGCCTAACGAAACTACTACCTCGAAACGAAGTGTTCGCTTGAAGCTTTCTGATAGTGAAAAGCACCTAGGCCTGCTTCTAGAAAGAAAGATGTAATGGAAACCTGATCGCACGGATCCCAGCGTGTCTAAAATGGCTCCAAGCAGGTTTGCTCTATACATATTGGCTCAATGAATGATTAGGTAAATCTGGCTACAAATCTTCAAATAGGTTGCGATGCTCGAAAAAATTCAAATATTAAACACAGTTGGGAAAAGTTGGATATCATTTTCTGTGTGTGTGTAGTTTATATGTTGAATAATAACAATATGGCAGTACATTTTTGGCAAGATTTGGCAGACATTTTTTCGGTAATTTTTAAGGGAGAATAGCTCTTCAGTCAACTGATGTCCACTCCCGAGATCTCATCGGGAGTGTGGAAAAGTGCGACCCAAGGTGCTTAAACCTTAGGCTCGAAAAAGCAGGGCACCAGAGTAGCAGGTGTCGTCCTTCATGCAGCAGGCGCAGTAAGGATTATCCATTGATTATATTTTTTCTGGCGATGACTGATGTAATTTTCTTTTTTTTATTTACTTATATTTATTTATTTTGTCAACATTTGTTCTTCGGCATCCGATTTTAAAATATTGTTAAAAAATCATATAACATTTTTAATATCAATTACTACACATACATATATCAACTAAAAATATATATACACATAGTACTCGCATATTCAGCCAGGAGTATCGCATGCCATTCCTTTTAGCCATCTCAATAAAATATTAATCGCTGCAATGCAGTTGTTAAATTCCAATATTTCTCAGATTGCTTTCATTCACATTTGGTTTTAACTGCCAAACTTTTATAACTGTCGTGGTTACGCGTCACATGCTATAATTGCACGCAATACCGTGTGGGTGGCCGTTCATACGTCCATACATACATACGTGTGTGTGTGTTTATAATAATGAACGTTAATATAGTAGTTAATGTATCTCTATCTGTGTGCTGTTATGTGAGAGGTATGTACATTAGGGTGGCCCTAAACTTAAAACACACTTGTTAAAATTCTTGTGAGGGAAATAGTCTTATTCGATCAAAAATACTTATTTTTAACGATTTTATAACAACTTTACGAAAAAAATTTATTTTCGCCATGTAAAATACGTAGGAAATTTCAAAGCCCCGGTGGCACGGGTAAATATTAATTTTTGATATTCTTCAGTTTTGGAGGGAGCATGAAGAATCAAAAAGGTTGATTTTCCTATGTAGTTTTGGATCACTCTAATGTTCATACATAAGTATGCACGTATGCATGTGAAAGCAAAATAACTACTTTAACTAACGTTTTTTGGATATGTTCTTTTTCTTCGCCCGTGCCTATCATTTCATTGTTAATAGTTTATGACATTGATTGATTCTGATAAAGTGCTGTATGCGTATCTGACGTAAACGTGATCAGAGTGCAAAGTCTATGTGGGTTACCTTAGTTTGAGTATTTAGATACAGAAAGTTAGTAGCTGCCAGGGATGCCAACTCTATTAAGGCTAATTCCCCCAAATTTCTGAAAAAATTCCCCTATTTTCAATTGAATTTGCCCAAAAAAACTTTTATTATTAAAGGAACTTCAACAAATATCATAAATTATAATGGGGTAATAAGGATAAAGAAAACTTCTTTTATAATTTATACAACTAATACTTCTGACTATATTTCGTAAAACATATCTATCATAAATATATATCGGGATGAGGGATGGGAGATTATTCCTTAGAATCATATATGTATTTCCTGAATGAAATTTTTGTAATTGTCAACAATCGTGTTTTTTAAAAGTTGTTTTGTAGTAAAATTACCTCCAAGTTATATATGGCAATTCTATTTCTGATTGCAGTTTTTTAAATTAATTTTGGTAAACTTCCTATGCCTGTCTTCGTGAGTTTCGCCCGAAATCAAATTCGCCCGATTTTTTATCTACTTTTATTAGACATTGGCTTTGTGATTGTTATTACAAGTTGTAATAATGTTCTCAATAGGAATGTTCTAATAAAAATCGGTTGTATATTGGATTCCCCCAAAATTTAAAGCCATTCCCCGATTCCACCAAAATTGGGCAATTCTCCCCCGGTTGGCATCATTGGTAGCTGCTCTCATTTTGTAAATAAAATCTAGCAGCCGGAATATTTTTAAATGGGGTTGGAGTTCATCTTAAGAAAATTAACCAAATTATTTGTATACGAGTACATATTAGGTTTTTGATCTTTTCGGCTTTTGGTGCCAAACAACGAGTTACGAAGCTACAGGAGAGCCTTCTAACGACTCTATTCTTCATCAGTAACAAATTCTTGCCAGAGTTTTTTACGGAAATATATATGTCACCGATGCAGAATTAGACTATAATGTTGTAGAAGCGTTCGACTGATGTACGCCTACGTTATTTCAAATATTTTATTCTTTCAGAAGGAAATTCCTGTTGAAAAAAGAGCAAGAATTGTTCAAAAAATTTAAGTCCACTTCATTATTTGTGCAATCATTTAAGTCGCTAATATTCCTCTAAGAGTATCATATTTCCAACCTTTTTTCTCACAAGCTTTTCGTTGCAACTCATTAAGGATGCACCGCCTTTATTCAAAATTCTTCTAAATTATTTCAGTTCGGTTAAAGTTGGACATTTAGTAAGACTTTAATCTTGAACTTGAACGTGAAGATCCCGTTAACACTACGATTAAGATCGTAAAGCGTTTCAGTGTAAACAAAAAACAAGTATTTGTCCTTTTTGCAGGCTATTCTGTTCTCGCAGTGTTGAGTGCAAATAAAGTGGAATAAAATAATTTTATTTGCACTCGAATTTTCCAGATCAGACTAGCCCATAGAAAAGGTAGTTAAAAAAATAATTTCTTTGTTTGGATTTTGTTTGTATATTTTTCAACGTTTCTAAAAAAAACATTTTCGGTATCATTTTGTGAAAACTTTGCATCAAAATTCCAAAGTTTCACTTGTGCCTTGCTCAACCAATATTGAAAATACATTTTACAAACCACTTCAATTATATTTAGATTTATAAATATTTTGCATATCCATAATTGAACTTGCGTGGAAGTTATGTCGAGAAATAACTACCATCGATCAATTTTTGGTGCATGGAAGCAAGTTCAGACATTACTTCCATAGATCTGATTCATGCATATAAATAAATAAATTACGCTATTTGCTTATAATCTCAAAATTTTCATAAAAAATATTTAGGGGTTTTGTGCTGTCGTCCTAAGGCAACGACCATACTCAAAAATACGAATTAAAAATAGCACTTTAGAAGGCACAACGCTGAAAATTTTTATCTACAAACAAAATTTTACAAGGAATAACAAAAATGCATTCCAAAATATGGTACGTAATCTTTTCTTGGAACAACAACCAAAAATATTTCCTTTCTTTTTTAATTTTTAAAATAAACGTAAATTTTTGTTTCTTATAAAGCACTTATTTTATTTTTGTTTGTCAATGCATAAGTTATGGTCATTCACACAGTGTGGGTTAACTCAGTTAACGAAAATGGAAAGTTAACAGTCAAACTAGCGTTAACTTGCACTGTGGAAGCGCAACTTATGTGTATTTATTTCATTTTAACAGTTTCTTTGAACAATAACTACCCCTTTAATTTTCATTTTTCTACCAACTTTAAGTTCTAAGAAAATAAAAATGTATATAGAAAAAGCATAAAAAACTGCTAAACCAAAAAAAAATGCAATCCGTAAAAATGAAGCAGAGTATAATTCTTCAGGTGTTCGACAGCTGGTAAACGCGTTTTCGACAACAAAATCAACTGAACCACGTACTAGTGTGTATGAACGTTAAATATTTTGTGTAGACAACGCTCGCTAATTCGACTAAAGACGCTTCATTTAGAAATTCTCGCGCCAAATTCGAAATTAATGCATTTACTTAAGCAAACCATCCAAAACTGAGCTCAAGCTGTTAAAGTGCAGCGACACAAAAAAATTGGTACAAAGGGATTAAACGGAGTGCAAAAAGCAGCAACAAGAAACAAACAAAAAAAAAATTGTACTAAAATGCATTAAAACCCTTAAAAGAGCCATATTTCACTTTCAACCAAATTTCAAACGTCCAATCAATACTCAAAAAAAAAAAACATCAAAAATTGGTTCTGTGTGCGCGAACTCATATCACCCGGCGACCGCAAACATGGCCGATTCGCCGAAAGAATCCATGCGACAGCCAACAAACCGCGATTCACAAACGCGTCGCGATAAACCACAAACGCTTAGTGGCATCGAGGCCACCAAAGCGCTAAATCTGCAAGCAACTGCATCCGCCGCGGCAGACAAAAATTTGACGGAAGCGCTAAGTGACACACAGCAAGCGGAATTGGCAGCGAATTTGGCGCGTAATCGGGCGCGTTCGCGTACAGTCGGTAGTCGCGGCATCGGTGAGTGTAGTAGCGGAAGTGGTGGTGGAGGTGTTGGTGTCGGTGTCGGTGTCGTTGGAACGATGGATGCGCGTGACGTGCGCAAGCATTCATGCGACGGTGTGGTAAGCATTGGCATTGGTGGTGGCAGCCACAGTGGCAGCGGTAACAACAGCATTGTCGATGGTGCAGCGGGCGCTAAATTTGGCAGTGGCAGCGGCATAGACGAATTTGCTGGAAGTGATAGTACGCGGCGACGTGAAAGTCTCAACTATGAAGATACGAGCCCATGTAGCCACAGCTTCAATAAGGCAATTTTTGGACGCAATGCACACAGCCGGACTGGCGTTGGTGGTGGCATGACAAGGAAGTGTGTACTCACACTGGACGGGTACTCGTATGTTATAGGTAAGTGGTGATGTAGTGGTGACGAGTAACAAGGTGAAGTATTGGGGCATAAATAGAGATAAGAAAATTGCGATTTAAGCGGTGAATCGTGGCGCTAACGAGGGGAATAGTCTGCAGCTTATTTCTGGTTAATATTGCATTATGCAACGAGTTCATTTGTGGTGCGCTCACTCGAAATGGAATTTTTTCGATCGATTGAATGCGATTTTACTCCAGCAATGTGCAGAATGTTGGAAGGTGTGACAAGTATTTAACGAAGCAAATAGATGGTAATATTTGAGAAAAAGAATCGTTGTAATTTTTAAGCTAAAATTTCTTTAATGGTGATATTTAGGCAACCGCAAACGCTTTAATTTTTTGGGGAAATATGTATTTTCTTTTTTACTTTGAGAAACATTATGGGTTGCATTATTTTTGGTTCAAAAGTATTCTCATTAGTTTCACAAGATAATCAAAGAACAACTATTACAATTTCATTAATAACTTAAATTAATTAAATGCGAAACAGGTTAAAGAAAGCTTTATTTCAAAAATAATTTTGAAAATGGTTGCCACGCATTAAAAAATCTAATTAAATCAACTTAGTAAATGATACGCGTTGTTTTCGTGAATTCGGCAAAAAGAAAAACAAAAAAGTTAAATAACACAAAGTTGGTGTAAAATAAAATAGGTTTTTAGAAAGCTCGTTAGCTGGTATTTTATTATTTTCTTATTTAATTAATAAAACAAATGAAATAAGAATGAATAAGATTTACGAAAGTTTTAAATATTAAAATTAATTTCAATAATAAGATAAATTGAGCCTTACAAAATGGTCATCAAACCGAAAGAGGTTAAAGAAGGCTTTTTTTAGAAAGTGTTTTGAAAGTGTTGCAATCTGAAAAATTAATTTAAATTTATTTGATAAGTCTAATGAAATATTAGAATATTAGAATACATATTTGAACAACGTTGACACCTTTTTTAAAGATAAATTTGAATTTGATTAATAAATGAAGTGCAAAACATCCTAGAGTTCTAGTATTTTCACAAATTATTGCCAAAGAGTGTTATAGAAGAGCTGCTACTTTTCCAAAATTTAAGTAATTTTTTCCTCTTTGAGGTAGATAGAATACGAGTATAAAAAAATTATGTAAATATGAAACTTTTATTCAGGCAAATTTTTATATATAGTTGCCACCTATAAAAATACCTTAAAATATAAACATATGTGTTTTAAACAACGAAAGGTAAGTTATCCTTTATACTGAAATTGCTGATTTAGTTGGGATTGGCACATACATATATTGACCTTGTCCTAGAGTTAAGAGATCGAAAAATATCGAGACTTCATTCACACAAAAGAGGCTGGCTGAGTTAACCGTCTGAAGAAGAGCATCTGGATGATCTTAATAATTATGTTGCAACCTGCACTTAGGGTTCGGTTTTAACAACTCTTAACAGAACAGTTGTTCTTCTAGAATGGTCGAAATTTCAATACATTTCATAAAACATGCTGTGTAGATCTAGTCTCATCATCTTTGTGTCAAAATCAGTGGTTGGCTGAACGGAAAAATGCTTTAAGTGTAGCGAGATCCTAACCAATTTGGACGCATTTCAACGATGATTTCTCCACTTATGTAGCTGTATACTTGCAATTGAATGCAGGAATTCTTAATTTAGAAATGACTTCATAGAGTCTGCTTCTATTCCTGATGTCAAAAGTGTAGTAGGACCTCCTCAACAGTGGGCCTTCGACTAGTACACTGAGATTCCAGCAAAAGCATGAGCACCATCTGCTCGAGGCGTTGTTGTCTTTGAGCTTCATTACGGCTGTTGGTGTGATCTAAAGGAAGAGACGGAACTAAATACCTAGGTATAATTCTGGATAGGAAACTAAATTCGGAACCTAACATCGGTGAAAGGTCAGACTTAACGCAAAATGGAGCTTTGGCTCTCGGTAATTACTTCTTTAACGATTCGAATGACACAAGAGCAATCGGTATTAGGACCTTAAACACTATTTTAGTGAGTACCAAGTGGTTTTTAAAGACACTTACATCACCATAAATAGTCCAAATATGGCGCACTTATGGTGATTTCGTTTCTTCCAAAAAAAGTTGCCCTTCCACGGTCCAAAATGTGTTTGATGTTACACCCAACCCTGCAAACGGGCATGTTTTTGCCCTCTTGTCCTTGTCTAGCCACGCATTTCATAATATTGTCGTACGTGTAAAGCTAAGTGTACACGGTAGAGAAAAAACGAGAGACTTAGACAAAAATATCGCTTGAGACGTGTAAACACTCAATAGAGCTCTACGAGAGACTCACCTACACAGTCTACGTGAGAGTTATTTAGCGAGACTTTTCCGCCGCCTACACAGTCCATTGCAACTAGATCGAAAACTTTACGAAAACTCTTCGCTCTATTTGACCAGCTAAATAGAGTTTTTGCTCTACGCAAACGTATGGTAAAGTCATGACAATGAATTTCATCACAATTTGCTAAATTTTGAAATGACTACGACGTTAAATCATTTATTCGGTACAAGCACACCATTTTAGGTACATTTAAAACGCAGCCAAATAAATTATGCCCCTTTGGTTAAAACACAGGGGGTATTCACCATACTGAACAAGTGAGCTGTCACTCTGGCAACAGTCTTTGCTTGAACTAATCTACTCTTATGCCAGAGCGCCAGGCCACCTTCTCAACTTGCTGAATACCTATATCGTCACTAGACACGAATAAGGCCGCGAGCTCATTAGAGGACCGCGAAAAAAGACACAGAAAAAAAAACTTCAGCGAAGGAAGACTCTTAGCATAGTTGACGCCGACGAGAGACGGGTTAAAATATTTGAAGGACGCGTAAACTTATTTTCGTAAATTCCCCAAAGAGTTTTTGGGGAATGATGTTGAAGTGACAATTCTTGGCCAAGTAAAAATTTACACGTCTTTTTTTGCCGTCAACTAAGTTTTGCGTCTTTCTTCGCCGATGTTTTTCGTAAGCCACTTTTTTCTTAAAATTTTCTTCGCGTCTTTTTTGGCGTCAGGACACTAGCGCGGCTTGTCTAGTGACGAGTTGTTTTCTGGAGGATAGAAAACAATTGTTTGTATACCATAAACACCGCGTAGAGTGCGTGATAGAGAAAAGCTGAGATTTCTCTATTTTGACTCTAGCTAAAGTGAATATCTCGTAGAGTAGCTCTACCGTGTGAACTTAATTGAAAGAGGAGATTTTTATTTCAGTAGAACTCTAGCGATATTCTCTGCTTCTCTGCAGCGAACAATTAGCTTAATATCTACCTTCCAAAGCCAATAAAACAAGGGGACATATTTTAATTGACAAGATTATGATACAGTTAGCAGCACAAAAACTCTCTAGATAAATTTATAAAAAAAGTAAACAAAGACAACCGTAAACGAAGCGAAAGCGTGTAGGGCCACGGCCAGCAGCAAAGGCTAACCAAATGTACGCGTCCCTTTGACAATAGCATAAGCGCATGGTTTTCAGTGTTCTTCATACGCCCAAGAGTCCTTGAACGCAGCAAAAAATTTACAAGGCAAAAAATCAACAACAAACACCATGAGTGGGAGTGAATTGTAACTTTTTCAACTTTTACTTTTACAAACAGCAAGCGG